GTTTTGAGGCCAAAAGCTAGTTCAAAGACAGCCTCCAAAGTCACAGAGAAACCCTGTCTCAAAAACAAAACAAACAACAAAAAGCAAACAAAAAACCACAAAGGAGTCTGGCGATGTAGTCAGCTGGTAGAGTGCTTGTCTAGCATGCATGAAGCTGGGTTCAATCCCCAGAATCACATAAATCACATAAATGGGATATGATGTTGGGTGTGCCTGTAACCCCGACTTGAGTGGTAGAAGCAGGAGGCCCCCTGATCCTTATTCTCAGTTACACAGTGAGTTGCAGGTCAGCCTGAGAAATTAAATCCTGTCCCAAACAAACAAGCAAACAATAAGAATACAGACTAAAAATCCATACAGGTCAGAGATGGTACAATGGAAGTCAATGGAGTAGCTATACACCCTGACAGGGAGAAGGATTACCTTGGACGTTATTTAATTAAGGGTATAATAGACTTTGGAGACCAGAAGAGGAGCAACAGCTCTGAGTGGGAGTCCCAGGGTCCTCAGAGACCCCTCAATGCTCTCTGCTCAGTTAGAGAGGTCCCCAGGGTCTGTCAACTTCATAACAGAAGTTCGAGTCAGCAAAGACCCGAGGCCAGTGTCTGACTTTCATACTGACTAAAGGAGGAAGAAAAGCTTAGAAATTCATAGGCAAAAGAATTGTGATAGGCCTTGTGTTTGCTACTGAACTACATCTCCACTCCTCAATCTGCAAATTTCTGCACTATTTAAGAGCTTGAGGTTTTAGTCACATCTATGCATGTGTTCTTACTTAAAACTTAATACCATCCCAGGAAGTAATAAACCCACTGTAACTGGGAACATTAAGCTAAAAAAAAAACCAGTAAGGGACTTGCACAGAATTACATGTCTTTAGTGGCCCCAGAACTATCCACTGTATCTTCTGAGTTCAGGTTTTATCTAGCAAGTATTCCAAGTCAATCTGTCTCCCAGGTCAACATATCCATGCCCAGACAGATTCCTGGTAGAGTTTTGCCCAACTCAGCCAACACTTCAGACTTATATTTTAATTTATATTATGTATGTGTGTCTTGCATGGGTATACATGCAGAGGGCAGAAGAGATCACCTGGAGACAGAGTTAGAGGCAGTCCTCACCCTGACATGAGTTCTGAGAGCCAAACTCCCTGAGCCTCTCTCCAGCCCCATCAGCCAACACTTTTGATGCTGGATAGAGTTTTGGGTCATTAAGGGAAGAAAATGGACAAGGTTGTGTTCAGACATTGACTCAGAGCTGGCTCTATAGTGTCACCACACACCATGCTTATAAAGTGTATTCCAGGGGAAAGAGCTTTGAAATCTAGGTAGTAGAGCACTATTTGTTTGTTGATTGGTTTATTTTTAATCTGCATGTGTCTTGTGCCTGCAGTTCTAGAATATAATATTGGAAATATTTACTAGTAAGGATAGTCATGCTTGGATACCCAGCAGTGTGAGCATCTATGGACAGTTAGTTCTTCCTGGTCACTCTGTTTCCTGCGGTGATCTTGCTGTAGGTCAGTGGAAGCTCACAGACCAGCCTGAGGGCAGTAAATCACATGTTGAGAAACACTCCTCCAAGGGAAACAAGTCCTAAAATTCTCTGCAGAGAGTGCTTCCTGGTACAGTGAACTGGGGCACGTTCCCACACTACAGGCTTGGGGAGGTGGTGGGGTTCGAATTAAATAACTTCACTTGATCAGTTAGCACTTCCAAACTGACCTGACTTCGTATCTCTGTTCACAGAATCTTTTTTTTTTAACACCAGGAAGACTCATGTTTTTCAAAACACATTTGGCTCTGCTTTGCATGTTGTAGGCAGAGTAAGACCCCAGCCACTATGCCTCTGGACTTTCCCTACCTTGAGCTCCCAGCCCTCCTGCCTCCACCCCCCCCACTGCTGTAATTGCAGATATGTGCTACCTGCACCTGACTCTTTTCTCTTTCCTCCTTTCTCTCCAACATGCATAATCCATGCCTACTTCTGCCTCCTGCACAGTACTCACATGAGTGCCCACACCCTTGCATATCAAAGCCACCCATACGGCTGAGGCATCTCTCACTACAATTTGCCACAGCATCCTGAAAGCATATTGGCTTGCCTGCTTCCTGCAGGGGACTCGTGGTGGGGACCTCATGTATCGACAGTAACCCCAAACCCAGTTCTGCCTCCCTGCCACCACCGGTACACACCTTGGGTGTGCCTTCATGTGTGAGTACTTCCCTACACTGCAGTGGCCTCTGGCCCCTTGTTCCTTGTTCTCGGGTCTCTCCCCAAACCCACAAATACACATGTAGAGACTCAGACCTCTGCTTTCTTATCTTGGCCTGAGTAGTCTCTATGCTACAGTGTCTCAAACAGACATCCCAAAGCATTTATCTCATTCATATATGTCTCAAGGACTCTAACAGTTATAATTCTGTGTAAGCTTCCAGAAGTATGGCTTTGTTTCTGCAGGTTGTTCCTCTTCTATGGTAACCCATGATCCCAAATGAGCTTGTCTGGTCTCTATTCTGTTGATACCGCGCCCTTCATGTTTGGCAGTTCTGGCTTTTGCGGTGTTCTCTCTAGATGTAACCACGTGCACTTACAAGTACCATCTCTAATAGCCCCATAGGCTCTGAGCTCCCCTTCCAGCCTGCATTTTTCAGGATGCCCTAGGCTGTTCCAACAGAGTTTCACCTCCCAGTTTCTGACCCTGCAGTATCTACAGCACTTGAAACCTTGAGGCAAATTATACTAACCTCTGTTTCCCTGACATGAGCAGCTTATGATTTATGAATAGACATACTCCATCACAAAGGGTTTGGGCTTGAATGGATTTGATAGTTAGGTACGCTAATATACATTGTGAATCTTGAGGAAGAGACTGTCTGGGAAAGGTTTTTCTAGGTACCCTTGTTCTATAAACCCTTCCTAAGAACCTCTATGGAAGAGGTTCCTGCTGCCCTGATGCCACTTGGGAAACACTAGCTGTGGGAAACTTCAGTCCTCAGAATCCTGCCATGTGCCAGGACCTCTTAAAGTCCTCCAAATGTACTTCCTGATTAGCTGGGAAAATGGACATCTCTCTGCAGAGGTTTTCCTTAGCTCTGCCTTTTGAATGATAGATAAGTTGAGACTTCACCCAATACTGTTATTTACTTTTCCATAAGTATTCGTTGTATAATTTATCATCCCGAGCCCTAATGACTTCCAAGGCTGTATTTCTAGCTCAGACCTCTCCCCTGAGCTCCCGGCTCCATACATCCTGCTGTCTTCTGGACGACTACCTATCGGAGATCTTTAGCAGAATGCCCAGCCAGCACTTGCAATGCATTTTGTCCTATATACAAATAATTACACCCTCATAAAACTCCTTTTTCTGTGTGCCACTGTCTAATCAGAAACCTGGAAATATTCTAAACTTTGTCTACCTAGTCCACCACTGCCCCATCACACACGTGCACTCCCGGGGCCACACGTGTGCACACCCGGGCCACACACGTGCACACCCGGGCCACACACATGCACACCCGGGGCCACACACATGCACACCCCGGGCCTGGTTCTCAGTCCCCCATCACACACGTGTGCAGCCAGGTTCTCAGTCCCCCATCACACACGTGCACACCCGGGGCCACACACGTGCACACCCGGGCCACACACATGCACACCCGGGGCCACACACATGCACACCCCGGGCCTGGTTCTCAGTCCCCCATCACACACGTGTGCAGCCAGGTTCTCAGTCCCCCATCACACACGTGCACACCCGGGCCACACACGTGCACACCCGGGGCCACACACATGCACACCCCGGGCCTGGTTCTCAGTCCCCCATCACACACGTGTGCAGCCAGGTTCTCAGTCCCCCATCACACACGTGCACACCCCGGCCACACACATGCACACCCCGGGCCTGGTTCTCAGTCCCCCATCACACACTGTGCACACCCGGGGCCACACACGTGCACACCCAGGGCCAGGCTGTCAGTCCCCCATCACACACGTGCACACCCGGGTTCTCATCCCCCATCACACACGTGCACACCCGGGTCAGTCCCCCATCACACACGTGCACACCCGGGCCTGGTTTTCAGTCCCCCATCACACACGTGCACACCTGGGCCTGGTTCTCAGTCCCCCATCACACACTTGCACACCCGGGTCAGTCCCCCATCACACACGTGCACACCCGGGGCCTGGTTCTCAGTCCCCCATCACACACGTGCACACCCGGGCCTAGTTCTCAGTCCTTTGGATTCCTCCTCCTGAGAAGTGTGTCCTACTCTTCAGTTACCACCATGGGACTTTGGGTCTTCCCTAGAGTTTGTCACCTGGCTTCTGTCTCTGCTCAGGGTTTCTAGGAGACAGACTCTGTTGTATGCTGGGAGGAGATGGGGAGTGCCTTGGAGAAAGAATACCTACTGTGGGGAAGTCTGAAGTTTACAAGGCATGGTAGAGTTACGCACAGACCGCACACATACACACAAGTAAATAAATAAATTTAAAAACTAAAGTTCAAATTAGGAGCTAGAGAAATGACTCAGTGGTTGAGAGCATTTGCTGGTCTCCCAGGGAACCCAAGTGTGGTTCCCAGAACCTGTCAGGTGGTTCACAACCGCCTGTAACTCCAGCTCTGGGGGATCTGATGCCCTCCTCTGGTCTCCATTGACATCTTCATTCATTTGTATATACCCACACACAGACACATAGACTTTTTAAAGAATTAAATGTCCTTTTAGTAGAAAAACACAAACCTACCCATTCATTCAGGCCTGATGGAGCTACCTGACCTACCTAAGACAGAGTGCAGAAACTGGTTGATGCTAGGACCCACCCAGGGTCTACAAAATTCCACCGGAACCTCGGCTTCCTGTACCTTTATTACACTCCTTCCCAGTCATACTTGCTGCTTTCGTCAGTGACCACCAGACAACATGCAGGCTATGAGGGGCGGCTGACCAATCCCCCACAGAGAATTTGTTCTAAACGTCTTCCATGTGTCTTTGCAGCTTGCAAGAGGAAAGAGCAAGAACACGGGAAGGACAGAGGCAACACCCCCAAAAAGCCCAGGCTGGTCTTCACAGACGTCCAACGTCGAACTCTACATGCAATATTCAAGGAAAATAAGCGTCCGTCCAAAGAATTACAAATCACCATTTCCCAGCAGCTGGGGTTGGAGCTGAGCACTGTCAGCAACTTCTTCATGAATGCGAGAAGGAGGAGTCTGGACAAGTGGCAGGATGAGGGCAGCTCCAATTCAGGCAACTCGTCATCTTCGTCAAGCACTTGTACCAAAGCATGAAGGAAGGAAGAACCACAGACTAGAACCTCGGTGGAAAAGCTTTAAATTTAATTTAAAAAAAGTTTTTAAAAGACCCGGACCTCGAGATAGCAGGTTTATTCTTAGAAATATTTGAAGAAATCAAAGTGGTATTTATAGTCCAAAGAAACCAAAGACTGGAGCTCACCTGCATTCTGACTTTGTTCCAAGATGCGTTACTTCAGCGGGGCAAGACTTGGCAGGAAGAATGATCGAGAAAACATCGGATCTCATGCCTCCCACCCCTGCGCCTCACTGTGCTTGGCTGCTCGGTGGCTCGAAGCACAGTCATGTCTGAGCCAGCGAGCGGTCATCTCTTAAGATCAGACATTCTCATCTCTTCTACCGCACCACAAAGGTGTGTAGTGTCTCAGCATCATGTGTGGGTGGGTGTGCCTGTACACACACACACACACACACACACACACACACACACACCACCAGTGGTCAGGGACTCAGGCAGGGCTGGTCTTCAGGAAGGGTTGCACCGTAGGAGTGTGACCAACACAGTGTGGGATTTCTAAATTCATTGGATTTAAGGTGTGACTTCTCTCATCTAGCCTAGCGTTTGAACCTGCCAGGTCCACCACCTAAATGCAGATTCAAACCCAGCAAAGAAAATTTGAATGGCGCCTAAACCAGTGCACTCTCTTTGTTTGTTAAGAAATGTTCAGATATTTTTTAAAAGAAATGAAACAAGAGTCCATCCATTAAAAGAAATAATAATAATCACCCAGGTACCAAAGAACACACAATATTATAGTGCAGGTATTTTATTGCAATGATTTTAATAACCAAAGCTATTTTTACACAAGATACTATGTAAAGTTATACGTATGAACTGATCTAGCTGTAATCCACATGCCACGTAGATTCAGGACTATTATTTATGACTCTTGAAGCGTTTGAAATATGAGTTTTCAGAACTGGCAAGGAAGAATGTAGCTTCAGGGAAGCAGTTACACCATGGCAGAGAGGTCGATGAGTTGCACACGGGATCCATAAATGCCACTTACATAGAGAAAAGACAATGCATAATTTACTCATAGCCAGGAAGATGTGAAGCCCCCTCATAAACACTAGGAAACTAAGCTTAACAGGGCAGATAACTAAATTAGAAAAATTGTCCAAAGTGAGCATTTTTAGTAAATATCCCCCTTTAAAAAACTTAGACTAATTTTGCTTAAATTTACCTTATGCATTTGGCACCAAATATTTTTTTAAATCCTTCCCAAACACTAAGGAAGCAAGCAGACTAATATTAATAACACTTAGTTATCCCATATGTTGCAACCATCCTAAAAAGCAATTGAACTGACTGTATTGCCAATTTGGGATATCCTATCAGAAAACAGCAAGTGCCACTGAGAGATGGTAGAACAGGAGAACTGCACAGTAAAAGCCAGAGCTCCAGTCGCACACAAGACTGCGGGTTCTTTCAGAATTAAAAGACCAATTTTACTAAGCAGAGTCTCCGAAGCAGTCACATTCCTTCTCGCTATTAACGAAAATTTTGTCTCATGGCTTCTACTCTTCGACAGGAACAGATTAAAAAATTAAACCCAAGCCTCCTAATTGAAGTTTTGACTTTTTCCAAATCATTTAACTGGGGCTGCACAGACCAAGGCAGGAAGTGAAAACAGAGTTGTAGAAATGGTTTGACACCCAGAAACATGCTGAGCTACGGCTGATTTGAATAGACACCAGCTGCACAGGAAGTCAAGGATGGGGTACCCTCAGTTAATACCACACCTAACTAGAAATACAACACCGAACACTATCCTAACAGTAAGTTATTAATTGACATTCACTAAAATGCCAGACCAAAAAATTAAAATTTTATAACACAAAATCTCCCTCCTGGGAATCAAATGGCGGTGGCACCCAGAGAGAGGCGCCTAAGCCGGCCATCCCTCTCCTGTCTCCTTTTGTTCACCGGTGACTGAGCAAAGGAAACCAGCATACGCCTTGACACGTTTTGTTTTAGTATTCTTAAAAGTTCACCTAAAATTCCAACTTAAAAGTTTTTTTCTCTAAATATGGCACAATTCTAGTTCAATCATGAAGAATCAGCGAATCGTCATACTTTGAGATTTCCTGAAGTTTTCAGTATTGCAAACAAAAGCTAAGAATAGAAACATTATTTTCTCTCTTCATAGTAGAGAGGGCTGGGGAGTACAGGTGCACTTATAGTTTAAGAGGGGGGGGATAGCCTTATTGCCTAAAACAAGGGAATTACAAATTCAGGGGAAACCTAACTGTGTCTACACACAGTCTTACCAACTTTCAATACTCCAAGAAAAGAAGAAAAAAATAAGACCCAGTCAACCTTGTGTCTTGGCTTTGCTTTTACCATGTTACTTTCATGATTGACCCAACTGAATTTTGCATTTTTTTTCAAGTCAATCATTTTGGTACTGTGGAGGCACAGTCTTCAAAAAAATATATATATGACTACATTTTAAAAATCCCACCATGATGGTTTTCTGAGAAATAACCAGTTACCCTACTTGCTGACACCAAAGATGATTTCATACCAGCATTAAATTTGCACCAATTACACAATTTCAGGGCCTAGAGACATATTTTCTCATAGACATAGGCACAAGTCAGAGCCTGAAAAGCAATTTTCTTACTTGACTGAGCATACTCCAAACTTTCGCTTCTTAAAAACACTCAGCTTTCATAAGCAATACCTTCTCATACCCTGTAGGAACAGCGCTTTCTTGGCTTTGGAACCAACAGAGACCATGTTTCCATTCCCGATTCATACAGCACTAACTGTTAGCATGCTCTACAGAGCAGATCGTTATCATTTGTCATTTCTCAGTCCTTTCCCACCATTCACCACAAGAGCTTATCATACTTCAAATACTTCTTTCTTTCTCTTCCTTCTTTCCTTCCTTTTCTTTCTCTGTCTCTCTCTGTGTCTCTCTGTCTCTCTGTGTGTCTCTGTGTGTCTCTCTGTCTCTGTCTCTGTCTCTGTCTCTGTCTCTGTCTCTCTCTCTCTCTTTTATATAGTGTTTTTGGCCATAAGTCATTCAGGTCTTCCAACAACAGGAAGCTTCTGCTGAAAGCCAGCAGGGATGTTTGGAGTTTGGAGTCTGTAAAACTTAGATCTCAGTAACTGTCCAGATAGAGGAATTCTAGATGCCCGGGACTGAGTACTCCTGTCTCTGAGCGCCTTGGGAATTGATTCCAAAGACCAAAGAAAATGTATGGGGAATTCACAGGTCCTGGCAGAACTTGCCACTCATCATGCCCCTCAGTCCCCCAGAAAAACTTAATTATTTTCCCAGAACAACATAAAAGTGCTTGCTATGTTTGGACCCACCCCACTCCCATTGCTACCCCAGGTGAAGAACCCGTCTTTGCAGATTAAATGCAACTTTGCTATACCAAAGAGTCTAAGGACATTTTCCCTATGGTCCGCCCTCCCTCCTTTGTACATACAGGATGAAACTATGCATTTAGCAAACAAAGAGAAAGCACGTCTCCCTTTTCTATCTAGTTGTTTAGGGTGCATTCAAATACCAGAGGCTATTTGGGGGATGCACTTGGCCTTCTGGATTATAACTGTGGTGTGGGTTTGCTCTACAGTGCATTTGGTAACTACTTCCCAAACGGTGTGGACAAAGAAGCAGAAGAAAAGAAATAGCTACTTCCATGTGTTTAAAAAAAAAAGAAAAAAGAAAAAAAGGGAAAAAAAGAGGAAAAAAAAGAAAAAAAGTGTAAAGATCTACTATTTATAGTGTGAACCAAAGACGCTACCTCACTCAATTTCCATTGGTGATTTTAATCACATTGATATACCAAAGAATACCAAAGATATTTTCATGCACGGCCATGGTCTGCAGAGGGAACTCCGCCCCTTCCCTTCCCCACCTTCTCCCTCTTCACTCAGTGTGTAAAGTTGTCTTCATTCTTAATAACAATACAATACCGAGAACAACAACATTAGGAACGCCTACTCCTATTACTGCTACTTCTTCTTGTAAATCTCTAGGCAAACACGTTGCAAAGTTTGTAAACTCCTAGGACGAGTGCCTTGCTTGAACCAAAGTGTTAAACCGCTGTTAACCTCTCTCACCTTAGACTCTTTGAATACCTCAGCCTCTTAGAAAGGCCACTAATGAAAAATAAAAAAAAGGAATAATTATTCACCGTGGTGCTTTTTCTGCGCAACCATGCAATGAAACTTTCTTTGATACCAAAGGATGACTTCCCCCACCCCCAATTCTTGCTGATAAACCAAAGCTCCTCCTCCTCCTCTTCCCTGAGGCTCTCCCCCACCCCTTCACGGAGTCCCTTCCCCAGGCAGGCCGTGTGTCACTCTTACCAATTCCTCCAAATACCTCATAGTAATAAAGCTTTAGGGTTATGTTGTATAGAGAGTCTATGTGATAAGGCAGAACTTACTAGTTTGTTAATTGTTAAGGTTACTTTAAAGAAAAAAAAACCTTTATAATTCTTATTTATTTTGTAGCTGTGTGTTTGGGTGTTCCCTCCCCCCCACCCTCCTTTTGGTTTGGGGTTTGTTTTCTTGGCTGAACTGCTCAGTTGCTCAAGGAAGAGTTAATTTTTGGGAATGTCCCCCAAGTGGGTTAAAAGTTAAGGGTTGTGTAAAAATGCAAGAATGGAATAAGAAATGATTTTCATTTTGATCATTACTTATGGAAGTTTGTGTTTTGTAGAAAATTTGTTTCCACAGGGTAAAAAAAATTATATATATATATATAATCTTTTTTGTGAAACTGGTTCCTATTTTCTCTATAATGTGCTGTGATTTGTCTTAATTTAATTACATTTTATATGAACTTATTTAATCGCTTTGTTAATTTATGACCGTGTAGTTTTTACAGTGTATATAGTACAATGAATGGCCAAAACTCTATGTTACAACCTCTTTTGTGCTTGATGCTAAGCTGAAGAAGGAGCCTCTCTTGCCTTCAGAGTGTGGTTATCTTTAGTTTGTTCCTGGTGAACACATCCACACGTGCTCTGAACACTGCCAGCTCCCCCTCAGAAACTCGTACATGCCAAATGAGAGTACCAAAGTCGAAGGATGGAAGGCACTACCTGTAGTTTTCCTTTAATGTACTTATTTATTTTTTGAATCACTCTGCAGGTAAGACCTGAAATTTTAAAGAGCTTAAGACCTTTCCCAGTGTCTCAAAGCACCTGTGTCTGTGGGATACATTGCTCCACCACTGACTGCTTTGGTTTGTTTGTTTGTTTGTTTGTTTTTACCTATCCAAGCATGGGTATAAGAAGTCAAAGTATAAAAAGCTAAAGAGACAAGCTAACTTGAATCTGGAAACCCTCTCAATGCCTTCTTTCTGCATTTCCGGGTGGGAGGCAGCCTTTCCACCAAGCTGTCTTTAAGAAAAAGACTCAGCTTGGGGAGGGGGGGGCACCAACCCCCAGCAGCCCATGCAAGAAGCAACACAAATTCAACTTGGCTTAATGATCACTCTAATCTAGGAAATTCGGTTAAGAGCACCACACCCCTGCTCCCCCTGCCCCATCCTGCCTTCTCATGTGAACCCTACCCAAGTGGGAAGGACTCCTGGGGGGGAGAGTAGAGCAGAACAATTTCCATTTAGCCAAGGCAGGTCTGGTCCTTGATCAGCACACACAGAACCCTCGAGGACCAGAGCCACCCTCACAGGAGTCACCCACTCTGTCAGTCAGCTTTCCTGACAGGTTGCATAGACTCATGGCTATACCCAACATCCCTCTCAACACAGGCAGGTGGCCTTCCTTTCTTTTGCAGGCATGTTTGGGGTGGGGAAGAAGAGGGGAGGGCGCAGGTTTCGGATCAAGAGGGACATTTTTATACTGATTATGTATGTGAATAGGGTAATAAGTCGGCTCTGAGATCCTGGGATGGTGGCGTCGGAGTCAGGATGCTGAGTCCGGGGCGGCAGTGCTGTGGACTCAGGATGTTGAGGGAAGGTTTTGAGAGGTCATCAGTGAAGCTCACGGCAGAATTATCTTTATAAGGTCACACTTCTATTTCTGTTAGTGTTGGTTTTTTTAATAGTATGTTCTGCATTTATTACATAATCATTGTGGGCTCATTTTAGAATTGCCATCTGATCCAACTGACAGTTAATCAATAATAAGAAACTTTAAAACACTGCCTCCTACTTGTTTGCTGGCTGTTGTCAAGTCTCGCCCCCCCATGTGCTGTCCCATCAGAACCAGCCCACTCACTGAGACCTGTCCCTTCCCCCTTTCCTATCTGCAGCACACTTGACCTCAGCTATTGTAAGAGCCTGACTCAGTTTCCCTGTTCAAGTTAGCTTGATGGTTTATTATATAAGGAGGGTGCCTAAGACAATCATCAGGTAAAAATTAAATAAAAGATCAATAGAGTAGAAATTTTTCCAAGGGCAGGGGGAGTTCTTCCTTAGCAATGAATTAAAAAAAAAAAACAACAAAAAATGGTAAATACATGATTATTTAACTACACACCTAACCATGAGGGGCTTAGGAGATTTTTGCTAGGAGACAAACAAACGTTACTGTCCTCTTCTTTGACTATTAGAAAATGGTAGTAGTTTCTACACTGCATCAACATGTCAGATGAAATGATTATTGTACCCAGTTACAGTCATTTGCTGATACTTCGTCTGTCTTTCTCGCTGTTGACCCTTCTTCTGTATTTTCCGTGCATAGCGACAAAAATGTGTAGTGTGTTAGGCATTCTTCTGGTTTGTACTGCATTAAGGTTTCTTTCTTTCTTCCCTTTTATTTTTTAATTAATTTTTTGAACTTCAATACTGTTCTCTCTTTATGCCGTGCAATATCATCTGCTGTGTTTGCTAAAGAAAAAGAGAAAAGAAAAAAAAAAGCAAGTGGTGATGTCATCACGATCCCAGTGTTACAATGTTTCCGCATTTGTGTAGTCACCGAAATGTAGTGAATAAAATGTTGGATTTTCCAGCACTTTAAATTTAGACACTCCTTGCCTCCTTATCTTTTACTCCACCTGCAGTCCTGAGTGAGCAGTCCTGAGTGAGCAGTCCGTGGATTTCGTCTGGAGGACGGGTGGAGAGGTAGGAGGGAAGCATGGCTGAGACAGCAGGAACCAGTGCTGTGCCTTAAGAAGATTACACAACCGGAATTTTAAATGTATTTTTACAATGTATTTCAATCATATTCACACCCTACTCCCACCGAAAGTCCTCCAGAGCCATCCCCACCCACCACTCCATCTTTTTTTTTCCTTCAGTAGTCCACTGAGTCCCATTTGTGCTGTCCAGGGTTACGAGCTTCGGCGAATGGTTCCCCCAGCCTCGGTTTCCACTCTGTACAATGGGCCTACCTGCACCGTAGGGCTGCTGTGGGGGTTAGAAGTTGGAAGCATGCAGACTTTGGCACAGTGTCTGGCATGCAAATCCTCACTGGCTCTTAGCTGGTCTGATAAAAGCAGATTTGATTTGTCTTCTCATTCCATTCAATGCCTGGCATAGCCACAATGAAAACAACTGATTCTCAAGTTGGCCCTTCCTTTTTAAAATGTTTTTATTACATTTCTATTAGTTTATTTTGTGTGTGTGCGCACATGCCACAGCATACAACTGGAGACCAGAGGACAACTCAGGGGCTCATTTCTTTCCTTCTGCAGTGTGGATCACAGGCATGGAACTCAAAGTTATCAACAGGGCCTGGCGACAACTGCCTTTACCTCTGAGTCATCTCTCAGACCCAAGTTTTTCATATTTCAAACAGAAGAACAGGATTGCTTTCTTAGGCATGATGGCTCATGCCTTTAAACCCAGAACTTGGGAAGCCAGAGACAGACAGATCTCTGTGAGTTCAAAGCCAACCTGATCTACACAGTGAATTCTAGATCAGCCAGGGTTACATAGTGAGACCTTGTCTGAAAAAAGAAGTCAGAAGAAAAATAGAAACCTTCCAGGACTAGTCAATATGTCTCTGTCTAACCCAAGCTCCCAAAGTCCAAATTCCTCCAAACAAAACATGGTCAGGCCTACAACAGCAACACCCGTCTCCTGTACCAACTTATGTCTTAGTTAGGGTTTCTATTGCTGTGAAGAGACACCATGACCACAGTAACTCTTATAAAGGAAAACATTTGAGGTGGCAACTTACAGTTTCAGAGGTTCAGTCAATTAGCATAATGACGGGAGCATGGTGCCATGCAGGCAGACATGGTGCTGGCTACATCCTGATCAGAAGAAACAGGACCTGGACTGTGACAATGGACGTAGTTTGAACACAGGAGAACTCCAAGCCCACCCCAACAGTGACATACTTCCTCCTACAAGGCCACACTTCCTAATAGTACCACTCCCTTTGAGATTATGGGGGGCCAATCACATTCAAACTACTACACTCTCCTTTCTTTCTTTCTTTTTAAAAATATTACATTTGCTGAGTGGTGGTGGTGGCACATACCCTTAAGTCCAACACTCAGGAGGCAGGGGCAGGTGGATCTCTGTAGGTTTGAGGCCAGCCTGGTCTACAGAGTGAGTTCCAGGACAGCCAAGGCTATATACGGGGAACTCTGTCGGGGTTAGGGGGTTAAAAAAAAAAACTCTGTGTGTGTGTGTGTGTGTGTGTGTGTGTGTGTGTGTGTGTGTGTCTGTGTGTGTCACAGTGTACTTTGTGGAGGTTAGAAGACAAAACCTGACAGGACTTGGTTCTCTCCTTTCACCATGGGGGTCCCAAGGATTGAACTCAGGTCCTCAGGCTTGGCAGCAAGCACCTTTACCTGCTGAGGCATCCCACCACCTGTTTTTTAAAGCATTGGAACCAGTGTCAGTTCTGACTGCAGAGAACAGTGCTTCTAGGGCAGGGCATCCCTGTGTCCCCTCTAGGCAGGGCCATCAAGTGTGTGCAAGGATGGAGGTCTCCCCCTTCTGTCTTTCTGGGATGTTTAAGGAGCTGCCCTGCCTTCAGCCCTCTCCTCTAATCCTCCTAATCCAGTTGCTGAGTTCAGAAACACACAGCGTCTGTGGTGTCACCCAGACCCTTAAGGAAACTTGAAGCAGAAGGATTTTTACATTTGTCTTCATCTTGAAAGATTTCTTTTTTTTTTTTTTTTTTTTTTTTTTTTTGGTTTTTCGAGACAGGGCTTCTCTGTGGCTTTGGAGGCTGTCCTGGAACTAGCTTTTTTTTTTTTTTTTTTTTTTTTTTTTTGGTTTTTCAAGACAGGGTTTCTCTGTGGCTTTGGAGGCTGTCCTGGGACTAGCTCTTGTAGACCAGGCGGGCCTCGAACTCACTGAGATCCGCCTGCCTCTGCCTCCCAAGTGCTGGGATTAAAGGCGTGTGCCACCAACGCCCGGCCATCTTGAAAGATTTCTATTTAGGCCGGGGGGTTGGTGGTACATGCCTTCAGTCCCAGCACTCAGGAGGCAGAAGCAGGTGGAGCTCTGTGAGTTCAAGGCCAGGTTGGTCTACAGAGTTCCAGGACAGGCTCCAAAGCAATATAGAGAGACCCTGTCTCAAAAAAAAAAAAACAAACAAACAAACAAAAAAGATTTCTGTTTAGGGAGAAGAGTTAGGCCCCAAAGGTTCTCTCTCTAAGATAAGGAATGTAGCCACAGGCTATGGCATCCTTTCTTAACCAGCACATGAAGAAAAGAGCTGTGAAGAGCTGACATTCAGCCAGGCAGCGGTGGCACACACCTTTAATCCCAGCCCTCCGGATACAGAGGCAAGATGGTGAGCTTGAGGCTAGCCTGGTCTACAGAACAAGTTCCAGGACAGCTATGGCTGTTACACAGAGAAACCCTGTCTTGAAAAATCAAGAGAGAGAACGGGCATCTTAGAAAGGCACGGTGTGGCACACCTGTGGTCCTAGACTAAGAAGCCTGAAGGAGGAGGATGGGTATGAGTTCAAGGCTAGCTTCCGGTCCACAGAGAAGAAGCCGTGTCTCAGAATGAGGACCAATCAAACGAAACCCCGATACTTTGGTGATAAGCTGTCAGAAAGACCCTTGCTGTCCAATGAGCGTAGGTTAGAGTGTGTGTTGCTCATCTTTGTTCTAATTGTTATACCAGTCACTGCATCATCTAAACCCTATATCGGGCACATCAAGACAAAGTGTGATGTAAGAACTGTCCTGTTCCTGCCCTCCCCAGCTTGGGCCACTCCCCAGGTTTATTCTCTCTGCCCTCTCTGCCTTGGCTGTTGAAGGCTTCTGCCTAGAATACTATCCCACCCTTCACCTGTTAAACAGCTGGCCACCAATACCCCATCCCTAAGGCAGGACGCTTCCCATTCCCTCTCTGTGGTTGTCCAGCACAGCATGCCACCCCTCATCTCAACACCAGCTTATATTGAGTACATCTGCTAACACATGCATACAGGTGCATCCCCTTATTACACATGCACACAGGTACATCCCCTGATTACACATGCACAGAGGTGCATCCCCTGATTACACATGCACACAGGTGCGTCTCCTAATACTGCATGCACACGGGTTCACACTCTGCCTCCCGCACACCACTACTCCCTTTAGTGAGTCAGTACACCATCTGTGTCGTCCAGATAAACATCCCATAAGGTCTTCTTCACCCGAGACCTGACATCAGCTTGCTTTGTTGACTTGGATCTGACATTTTAGGCTTCACCTAAAATGAATGGATTAGACCATCTTTCCAGACCTTATGGAGTACAGAGAACCATGATGTTCTCTGGGAGTGGACTCCACTGACTTGCAGCTTGAAGTGTGTTCTGGGTGTACCAAGAAAGGTAGACATGTGCACCAAAGTCTGTCCTCTACAAAAGCAACAAGGACACTTGCTGTGGGAGCTCAATCTGTTAAGACAATGGCATATGGGGTGACTAGCCATGGATGTGGTTTTCTCTGATATGTGACCAGATAAAAACTGCAGGGGCAAGCCGGGCAATGGTGGTGCACCCCTTTAATCCCAGTACTGGGGAGGCAGAGGCAGGTGGATCGCTGTGAGTTCAAGGCCAGCCTGGTCTACAGAGTGAGTTTCAGAACAGCCTCCAAAACAATACAGAGAAACCCTGTCTCAAAAAAACAAAAGCAAAAACAAAAAACAAAACTGCGAGGGGGGGGTGGTTCTCACTTGGGCATGGAAGGCTTCCTGATACAACACACCATTCGGTGACCTGGTCTGGAGCTTTCTCCATCCTTCCCTGGTGGACGAAGAGTCAGCAGCATGCTTCCCGTTGTATCCATGAGTGTGTTCCCCATTTCATCCCTTAATAAAGAACTCTTCTTCCCAAGCATCTGGGGATTTCTCGATATACCTAGCCCCCACGGCTGAAAGGATGGAGCTCCCACCACTGACACTGGCAGAAACAACCCAACCAACTTAGTCAGGAATAGAAATTAGTTCCAGGTCTGCTGTGATCTGAGTAATGTGCGCTTAAGAATACCAGAGGGCTGGGGAGAGACCCAGTCAGCAAAATCCTTGTCTTCCAAAAACAAGAACCCGCTGGGCGTTGGTGGCGCACGCCTTTAATCCCAGCACTCGGGAGGCAGAGACAGGGGGATCTTTGTGAGTTCAAGACCAGCCTGGTCTACAAGAGCTAGTTCCAGGACAGCCTCCAAAGCCACAGAGAAACCCTGTCTCGAAAAAAAACAAAAAACAAAAAACAAGAACCCTAGTTTAATTGCCAGAGCAGTGTCAACCTGCTGGGCATGGTGGTGGGTGTTCATAAGTCCAGCACTGAACAGGCAGAGACAGAGGTCCCTCAGGCTCTCTGGATAGCCTAACCTAATCAGAGAATTTCAAACCAGTGAGAGGCCCTGTCTCAGAAAAGGTAGACAGCACCTGAGGAGTGACGCCCAAGGGTGTTTTCTGAACTTCACCTATAACTGTTACACACACACACATACACACACACACACACACACACACACACACACGCACACACATGCACACACAGGCACCCATATCCATACATGAACACATGAGGACAGCTCAACAACCAGCTTTGTGGTTCTTTAATGTGCACTGAGGGGCTTAATCTCCCCACTCCAGCTCTCCAGTAGCCTTTAGAACCAATAGCTCCACAGTCAGTGAAAACCAATTTCCTAGCCCTGGTGGAAGGGCAGTAGGTTATTGGTCTCTCCCAAAGTGTAGATCTCTATGAACTGCCATTATCTGACCACTCTGGATATTCCTCCAGAGATCTCCATTCACAAGAATTGTATTTATTCGGCACAACTCAGAGCTCACCCTGATGTCCTAGGGGCATTTGTCAAGAACAGTGAAAAGTAAGAGTTTAATATTGAAGCTGCCTGAGGCAGTGGCCACATCAAGAATCCAGAAAGCCGAGTTAAAAACTAAAAGGGAAAGATAGATATGACATTCATAGTGGCTTTGGAAAGTTCCAGGACACTGCTGGGAATCTGGACAGTGACATACATCCACATGGAATAACCTCGCTTACTGACTAATGCTCACAAATTATGAATGATAATCACGCAGAGAAAACACCACTCCTGGATGAGTGCTCGACTGAACGGGAACTGAAGTCCAGCTGGGAGAATTCAACTGTAACAAAGCAAACACCTCTGTGCTGGTGACTGTTAACACTGACTGGGAGCTTGACGGGACCTGGAATTACCTAGGATACAAGTGTCTGGGCACATCCGTGAGCTCCCGTGCATGCCTTTTACTGGGTTGGTGCCTGGAAGTGCATCAAACAGGAGACGTGGGCTGAGTACTCATCTCCCTGCTTCCTGACTGTGGATACAATGTGACCAGTTGTTTCTCTCTCCTGCCGCCTTGATGTCCCCACCATGATGATCTATGTGTCCTGCAACTGTAAACTACAATAACTGTTTCCTCCTTTCAGTTGCTTTTACCCAGATACTATATCACAATTATGTTGTGGGATACTTTGATCGCACTCTGACACTCCCAAAACTGCCAGTAAAGTTTACCCTGAATCAGAGGGTGGAGCTAGTTATTAGCTGACCAAATTAACCATAGAGGTTTTGGAGAAGCCAGGAAGTAGTAGGGAGGGGCTTAGAGAAAGAGGTCCAACCCTTTTGGATGAAAGAAGGAAAGAGAAAGATCATTGGCCGATTCTCTACTGCTTCTCTGATCAATCAGGTTTTTACCCCAATATCTGACTCCTGAGTATTTAGTAATAAAAGAATAATTAGGTAAGTGTTTCACAACTACAGGAAAAGTACCTTACACAACACTTTAAAAGATGCCACCACAAGGCTGGGCGTTGGTGGCACACGCCTTTAAT